TGCTTGTAAATGTTACGTATTAATTCCTACGTATAAACATGAGACCAGGCTGTTATGTTGCAAAAGAAGATGTTGATAATAAAACCATTTCGGTTACTACTGACTTCCATGTTCTTTTATGTTCCACTGAAGTCAGTAAGTCATACAGGTTTGAAATAACATAAAGGTGAGGAAAAAAAAATTACAGAACTGTTGTAACTGTCAGGGAATTCACAGACAGCTTATCATATGAAAGAGGTGTCAGTGTGTTATTTTGATGTTCCTCAACTGTAAGTCACTTTGGAAAAAAATGCACCTGCTAAATAAATACATGAAAATGTAAATGAAAGACCAGTTTTGATAAATGTGGGTGGTTGATTATATGTTACAGAGGCTGTCTGATATGCAATGGGAAAAAGGAAGAAGAATAGGATCAGAAAAAGCCGGATTCGGTCAGTGGCATCAAAAGATCAAATATTTGCCATGTCACTGTTCCTGTAATTTTGTCTTGCCCAACCAGTCAATGGTGGGCAGAACTAGTCTTCACCAACAGTATGAGCTACTTGCAAATAGACACTCCATTTTATTTATTAAATTATTTTTTTTATGAAAATTCCCCATCACAATGTCATCACATTTCGTAATTGCAAATGTATCAAATCTGATTCTGAGGCAGTTTACCGTGACTGGCTGCAGTATGGTCATAAACTCCTCCCTCTCCTTGTAAATAAATGGGACAAAAAAAAAAAAAAATCTAATTACACTTTAAATTATTTTTCCCCAAAGGTGGTTTCTGTCATTTTACTTTGTTCTTATCACGTTGATATATGTTCAAGTGTGCTTTTCTAATAAGTTCAGTTTTAGTTATTTGATGCTGTAAAAACGGTGTGTGGTTTCATGATTGTGTGCTTGTGATTGATACATTTGGGCAGGACCTTCATTCGGCAGCTTCACCTCATGATTACCAGCAAACTCTGGCTCCAAATGACATCATCAGCACAAAATGACTGTGGCCATTTATGCAACATTTTGGCTTCATTACTCTACAGTAGAAGAAAAGAGAGATGCATTGTCCACCTTTTTTATGGTCTATCATCTAGATTGTAGAAAGCCGCTCTATAATATTTCACATGGAAGACCAAGATGTGAATCAACTTAGTGTAGAGCTGTATGTAACAGTTCGAGAGACTTAACATAAAACTAAAACTAAAACTAAACACCCCATCCCACAAACTTTCTCACTTCCTGACAATTATGGGAATAATGCCTAGCTAAAGCAGACATGAAACCTTCTTTCACTTCATGTTTTCTTAAAAAGATCCACCTTATTTTTCCCGTAAGAGCAGGCCATTTGTAAGTTTTATGGGTCTGGCTGCCGGTGTCATCCGCTTCCAGCTGTTTTTAGCTGTTCAAAACAGCTCTTGTGTGTCTTACCATATTATTTTAATTATGAACACAATGGTTTGTAGTGCAAACAATTTGACCATTTACTGCACTTCGTTATTTCCCTACAGCGGCTAATGAACCGGAGGTTTCACACATTACCAGAAAACAGCTTACTTCTGAATTGAAAAATAAGGTGCTTAGCTCACCCGAAAATGAATAAAATCACAGCCAAGAAATACTCAGCCATCTCCCTACGATCCTGAGGGATCCTTCAATACTGTGGAAAGTAATCGTTTACATACTGTGCACAGAACATTTCTATCCCTATCCTTTTAAATAGAATGTTGACAAAAAGCTTAGTGTCTAAAGAACATAGTTTGAATCTAATGTAATGTAAAAGCTGTTTTTAATGTGTAATCTTTGAACTTTCTTTGTGTGCTTCCCAACTACATCCATTCTCACTTTGTTAATATGGAGCAGTCATAAAATTGTATTAAAACAAGGACAATTTCAGCACAGTGATAAATACTGAGAAAAAACTATCAAAATGAAACAGAGGCAAAACAATAGTTACTTACTTCTTAAGACACAATCCAGCTCGAACTTTCCTCATATTACCAATGATTTAAACATTCCTGTTGTCAATGTTTAAAAAAAATCCAGTCCCAATTTCCTTTGGAAAATCCCATGCATTTGATTTCTCAGTGGACCATTGAGTTTGCTAAAAAAAAAACAGCAAATAATTTGTACAGAGGTTGTGTGAAGAAAAACAGACTTGGCAGATTCAGACGGGATTACAATGGCTGTGAAACACAAATTTCTCTAACCCCCGCTGGGAAAACTAGAAAAAAAGTTTAATATTTGAAAAAAAAAAAAAACAATGTGATTTCTGGTTCTGCTTATCCAATCCAATGCAAAGCATGCTGAGAACTAAAGTCCACTGCCCTGTTGTAAAAGTTATCAAGACAACTTAAGTGTTTTTTTTTTAATTGTTGTTGTTTTATTATTTTGATGTAATGATTAACAGTATGTCAAAAGAATGCATCAAAATAATGTTTGTGAATGAAAAATGTTTAATTAAACCAATAAATCAGAATTACACTTCTGATTGTCTTTGACTTTATCAAGGCAAACACATTAAAATAAGTTTCAGTTTGTTAACATTAGTTGATGCATTCATTATCATGAACTAATAATAGACAATACTTCCACATCTCATTTTGTAAACGTGTATCTGGAGTCATGACAGAGGTAGAAATTGGCAGTGAAAGATCACAAAATTGTATTAAAAATAAAACAGGACAATTTCAGAATAATGACAGACCTTGAGCAAAAACCTGATAAAAATAAAACAAAGGCAAAAGATACAGATATACTGATAGTTCTACTTACTTAATAAAATGAACAGTCCAGTTCAATATACTTCTGCTATGTTATCCTAATGTAACTTATAAATAAGTCTGTTGTTAACTTAAAAAAAGGTGCTTCCTGTTGTAAACACCTGCAGATGCTTTCATGTGTTTGCAGAGCATCAAGTTTTCTGTGTTCTTTCTTCTACATAGAGCTGCATCTGTTTAAAAGGCAGATAGAAAAAAACGTCATGTGATAATGTTGCAAGACGAGCGTAACGAAAACATGTCACTTCCCTTTTTTTCTAGAACATATTGTCATGTTGCTGTGATGGCCTTTTGGTCAGTGTGATTGTTCCGATGTGATTAACATGACTGCCAGAATGTCTCAGTATTTAGTTCCTCTTTCACATTGACAGCAGCGCTTGAGCTGCATGAACAAGTTTGTGTCAAACTTGATGATCATGTTCTGCAGCATGATTTGAGAATGATCCTAGAGCATTTGTACTTTAGTTGAAGCAATGAAATCTGACTCTCTGTACAGAAGAGCTGTGAATGTCTCACCTTGAGAATATCAGAAGTCATCGTCTTGAGAGGAATGAGTTTTGCCTCTTCCATGTGAACTTCCTGCTCATCTGCTACAATCCATGGAAAATCCTGTAAAATATACACAAAACAGATAAGACAAGAATGTGAATTTTACATTTCTTTGTCATAAAATTACTAACCCATATGTTGTTCTTTTGCAGAACACAAAAGAAGACATTTTGAAGAATGTTGATAACCAAACGGTTTTGGTGACCATTGATTTGGTCACCAAACACTGAGATATTTCTCAAATTATCTCCTTTTATGTTCCACAGAAGTAATAAAGTCATACAGCTTTGGAACGACATGCAGGTGAGTAAATGATTTTTTTGTGACCTATCCCTTTAAGTTGAAGGAGCAAACTGAATACAAGAAATGAAACCCTATAGTGCAAGTCAGTGCATATTATCTAGCCAAGGGTACGGGAAGTGTGAAAACAATCAGACTCAGACTCAGACTCGACTTTATTGTCCCGTTTAGGGAAACTAGAATCGCAGCGAAGTGCCAGTACTCTAACCACAATCCATGCACACATCACCATTTCACCTATAAGAACATACAATGTAACATTATACAAATTCCCAAAACATGCATTAAAATTGATCAAACACTGTTCAAATTCATACATTTTGAATACCAAATACATTCTCCTCCCCACCAGACTTGTTCAATAACTTAATGGCCACAGTAACAAATGACTCTTTAGTTCTTTTCGACCTGCATACAGGGACTCTAAAACGACTGCCTGATGGCAGCATCTGAAACTCAGTATGTAATCAATCACCATGTCCTTCGTTTTATTAACATTCAACTGAAGAGAAAATCGGTCCCACCATGAAACGAAGTCCTCCACAACAGGACCATGCCCCAGATCCTGATTGTGGAGAAGACTCACAATCACTGAAGCATCTGCATATTTTATGATATAACTATTCTCATACATGCTCCGGCAATCATTCGTATACATAATAAACAAAAGGGGTGAAAGACAACAGCCTTGAGGAGACCCAGTAGAGCAATATTGAAAATCAGAATGAACACCATTAACTCTAACACATTGAAGACGATCTACTAAAAAAGTCCAAAATCCATCCAGAAATATTATGATCCAAGTTAAAAAGAGAAATTAATTTCTCTACCAACATATGTGGCTTTATTGTGTTAAAAGCAGAAGAGAAATCAACAAATAACAATCTAGCATGGGTCTTGGGCCTTTCCAAGTGACTAAACAGATAATTCAGCAAGGTAAGGTTAGCATCCTCAACTCCCCTGCCCTGTCTAAATGCAAACTGCAATGGATCAAGTCTATCTTTTGACTGCTGTAAAATTTCACCTTTAACTACTTTCTCAAAGCACTTCATAACTAATGAAGTAAGAGCTACCGGCCTGAAATCATTTAGCTCCTGTGGGGACCTAGTCTTAGCTACAGGAACTATAATAGATTTTTTCCAAATTTCAGGAACTCTTTGTAACATAAGAGATTGGGAGAAAATGTAATGAAAAATTTCACCCAGCTGCTCAGCACATGTACGTAACACCCTACCTCCAATATTATCAGGACCGGGACTTTTTTTAGTATTAACTCTCTGGAAAAGACCCGTGTCACACTAATATTAAAAGATTGACTGCATGCCGATTCTTGTTTTAAAATGTCAATTTCTGACTTAAAATCATTATCGTCAAACCTTAAATAAAATGTGTTAAGTTCCTCAGCAAACTGTTTCGCAGAACTGAATCCATTCATTTTAATATCTCTATTCCCTCTGTCTTCTTTACACCCTGCCATTTCCTTCATGCCTTGCCAGGCTGATCTTAAGTTACTGGCACTTAACTGTTTCTCAGTCTAATTTTATCCTTATTTATTTGAACTCTCACAGCCTTATACAATAGAAGGAATATATAATTGTAGGATACAACAATTCCTTCTATTGTTCTATCCTACAATAGAAGGAACTATATAAGAGTTCACATCAGGTTGCATGTACAGCATCTTTTTGTGGAACATCTGAGAAAAAAGTTTTTGTTTTCAGGTTTCCCAGCAGTTCACTTAGATATCCAGTCAACAGAGTGAACTAAAGACAAGAAAAGACAAGACCAAAAAAAAAATAAAAATAAATTATAAAGCTGCTTTAACACACCTTGATGACCTGAACTTTCTCCATGTTTCTTGTGGCAGCTTCCCTGGTGTGTACCAGCACTGTGAATGTGCATCCTGCAGAGTGGAAGAAAATCCATAATTTAAATGTAAATCTATTAAAACTTACTACTCCTGCCTGCTCCTACCTGAAGCTCCTACCTGAAGGATTGTTGTCTAGAACAGCATCACATACGCTGATTTTTAAGATCATCGCTCTCAGCAGCTGCTCCACATGAGACAGCAGAGTCTCTGAGCTGACACAGCAAAACCCGACACACACATATCAGAAAAATGCATAACTTAAACCAGGATTTAAAACACTAAATCCACTGTCACTCACCTGATGGACAGCAGTGGAGGCTGTGAGATCTCAAACACAAATCTCTCCACTGGATGGTGCTCTTTATCCATGATCACCACTACAACCTTCTCAGCCTCATTCTGCAAAAAGAGCACAAAACAAGTCTTGTTTGCTCACTGTTCAGATGGAAACCATTCTAATCATATTGGTTAGCCTGTTTTTCTGTAAATAAATACATTAAGCAAATATGAAATAAAAACCTCACCTTCTCTATCAGTGGCTTGACACAATGCAGTGTGTCTTGAATGTACTGGTTTAACTCAGGATGACATGACATCTGGCAAATTAAATATAAGTAGTCAAATACCTTCAGCAACATTTTCTGTCTATTTGTCTTTCCCATTGCATGATGAATTAGCAAAGCAGTGCTCATTCGTACTGTCATCAATCTTAAAAACATTACCTGCACAGGTACGTTGTATTTCTTCCTTTTCTGAAAAATACCAGATGGATAAATCTCTCTGACATATAGGATGAGGTGAATGGCCACTTCCAAAAACTCACACAGAATGTCAGCAGCAACTGAAAATGACCAATATAAAAAGAATATTCACAATGACGTTATTTGAAAACTGTATAGTGCATTACATTTACAAATGAAATAAAAGTTACCTTGGCCAAAATTAAGGTCCTGCCTCGTCAGAGCGGCCATACTGAAGTAGCCAAAATATATGCAACAACCTTTAATGAAAAGAGGAGCTTCTCGTTTATAAAATATCAGCGATCATGCATATAGTTGCTCCAGAATACGTGTGATAAGAGTGTTGTATTCAGAAAAAAAAAACGTAAAAACGAAAACTATTACGGTAATACACTCAGTCCGATTATTGGTAAAATGTCTGTCATCCACAAATAAACAGTAAATAAACAAACATTTAATCAAACGATGCTCGAAGGATGTTTACACTTTTCTTCTGTAATCTGCAAGAGAACAGCAGCGCTATATGGCTATACGCCTGCTGCCACCTACCGGAGCGGAAGAAGAACGCGACAACAAACCATAATGTCACAGTACTGACTTATAAAAGAAAACAGAACAAAGGACTGGATCTTGTATGTATCTACTTATATGCAGTAAGTAAGTATTGTTGATAGTAAGACCAAAGATCTCAAATAAACTGTATGACAACAGGTAAAATAACTTATTTTGGTGCAAAATAAATGACACCTTTCTGAGCAAACTACAACTGGCAGGTGAGAAATATAGACCACAAACATTGTAGGTACGACGGCTAATCAAAATGGTACTTACTTGCGCTTATCCGGATTGTTCAAATGACTTAAAACTAAAAGATTACGTTCTCTTGTGCGAACTCATTCAGGAGTGGTGACTTTCCACGTATTCCCAACTTCTGAGCCTGCTCGCCTGAAGTTATGGTTGATTGCTCTTCGGCTGGACGAACTCATTCGGGAGTGGTGACTTTCCACGTATTCCCAACTTCTGAGCCTGCTCGCCTGAAGTTATGGTTGATTGCTCTATCAACACACCCATTAACGTAAACTACGCCAGAGTGTGTATACACCTCACGCACCGGATGCCGTGCGTGCGCCCAAAGACAGTTGGACATAGTGGTGTATTAGAGGTAAAAAATTATATAAATACTGTTCGGTTTCTGGCACAAACCGATCGTTTCGTGTCTTAGGACATCAATGTGTCGTCACGAGCCGCAGGGTTTAATTTGGATTTGTCTGTGCATGTTTTTTTACTCTCATAGATTTTGTTACTATTGCCATGCATTATACGACTGATAGACTGCAACGGTTGGACTTAAAAATCATCATATGTGTTCTACTGAAGAAACAAAGTCACCTACATCTTGGATGCCCTGGGGGTAAGCAGATAAACATCAAATTTTCATTTTTGGGTGAACTATCCCTTTAACATTAACGGAACGGAACAAACTGACTGTTAACTGATATGTGTCCACTTCTTCAGGGATTTCATGAAATATAATTTATTTATTTATTTATTTAAAGCTATTCATTAAATAAATATTTATTCACATTTAGTCCTGCATAATAAAAGCCTATTTAATTCAGGGGACCTGACCAGCAGTTTATTTTTATTTAACCAGGACAGCATGTAATTCAGGGATTTCATTTATGACAGGCTGTGAGCAAAGGTTTACCTGAATGACCTCATGGACCCGCTGCTCTTTAGAAATGACATACATAAGACAGTGTCAGAGACTAAGTATTTGATTTACTGCCCAGTTGATGTCCTGAGAACCTGTGAGTATTCAAATGATGCTTTGATTCGCGACAGATTTGCAGATAAAGTAGGAAAATCATCAAAATAGTCATTCGATCAGTAACTTACTTGATTGTAAATGTATTACTGCAGTACATACTTTAGCTATTTGGGAAAAACAACTATAACTCTGTGAAACATTGAATATGAATACAAAATAGCAGCTGTCTATGTACACTGGACTTCAGTGCTTTATCTTATTCATTAACAGTTCTTTATTATGGATTACTGAATTGCTGAATGATTAACTTTCCAAGACACAGCAACGTCCATAACTGGTAAGTAAATACAGCCTTAAAAACTACTTTGTTTGGTCTTCCAAAAGAGGACGATATCTGCTTCGTCATGCCTGGAGCTAATCCGTGTTGGTTGCTGAGGAAATACTACAACTTTGTGCTGTGGATCACTGGATCGGCTTTCACCGTGGACGAAGCGGAGTCCAGCCCGGGGTCGTCACATGTGGTTGCCGCAAGCCCTCCGGACGCTCCTTCGTCGAATCCACCACCTCTACTCACTCTAGCCCGCCGGCCGTTCCTCACTTTATCCCCCGGCCTCCGCTCACTCAAGGCTGCTGTGTGTGATCCTGTGTTTCGTTGTGAAAGCGAAACTACTTTGTTTGGCCTTCCAAAAATGGGCACGACTAGAAATCAGTGGTTAAGTTGTATTTACAACACTGTTCCAGAACACTTCAACCCAAATATTCAGATGTGTGCAGCACATTTTATGGAGGACTGTTTCCTGATCCTGGTAGAGTAGACTACAATGCCGGCTGTTCTGACTCAAAGACTGTAAGTAAGTTTTTTATATTTAAAGAGTTTTTATATTTTATATAGGCCTATTTAAAGTAAGTTTTTTGGGCAGTGTAGAGTAGGGCTTGTTGTTTGTCATTTCTCCGATCACAAATGCAGACATGGTTTTATGTTTACGCGGCGCGATGCAACGCAACGCGTAAAAAGACAGTACAAGTTATTATAATCCATAATCATTTTTAAAATAGCCTATAGCCATAGCGTTCGTTTATATCACAGCTTGGGCTAGAGCCGTTCAGAGCCGTGAGCTATAATGAGATATGAGATCTTTCATGTACCGTGATTAATACTTGTTTTGGTTTTGTTTTATCCTCTTTTCTTTATTTGTTTTGTTCCTGCCTTTCTTTATGTTCATAAAAATTCTGTTTATGTTTAAAAAATTATGTTCATCTTTCTCTTTTAACAGTCATTGTCAACTTTTTTTGTTCTTCTTCTCTTCTCTTCCATATGTTCAGATAACATTGGATGTATTGTTGATACATTATGTGTAATGTATGCAAAGTTGTATTTCATTATTGTCATCTCTGAATTGTTTGCAATAACAAAATAATAAATAATAAATAAAAAGCCGTTGAGCTCCGTAAAGCCGCATTTGACAGGGTATGCCAGCCACAATCTCATCCATATTGTTATAAAATATAGCATTCTGTGTAGAATTCAAATAGCTCCGATACATGTTGTGGTCTGTGTGATGTGATCCGCTCCGTGTTATCGTGTCTCTGGACCGGAGCAGAGTGTGTTTGCAGTGCGGTGGTTAGCGTGACACAGCGCGAAACCAGACTTATTTTTTTTCGTCAATGGAAAGCATATTTACACTGTTTGAATCGTTCCCTGTCCCCTATATAGTGCACTACGTGCCATTCACTGTACAGAAAATTCTAATTCTGTGGACAAGTGACCGATTTCAGCCACGGCTTCAGCGTCTATTTTATAGTGTAGGGGATTCTAGAGAGCATTTGATTGGACAGAAAGTTTGATGAGAAGCTCAAGTACGATGTGACGTCAAAAAAATCGTTGAGCCGTTTTGGCGGAAGTGACGAACTGCAAGCTTTAAATGCTTATATCTTCTAAATGCAAATTTTGTCACTGTTTTGGAGCACGCTGCCTTATAGATAGCCTTAAGACTAACATATTGATACTAACACCCAAAAAACTTTAATTTTGATTTCATGGGGACTTTAAGCTCTCCAAAAGACACTTTCTTGAAGTGAAACGTAGCAGGATAAGCTTTTGTTTAAAGAGTTTGCTATAGTAGTTTCTCCTTTTTGTTTGTGTTTGCTTTGTAGCTGACTGAGGAGCAGAGAGCTGGAAGGAAATGGAGTCCAATGAGGCCAGTGTTCAGTACAACCGCTGGAATGAAGACAACATGAACATGCAAGAGAATTCACAGTCCAGACTGATGGGGTGAGAATCTACTCAATATATTTCATATAACTGATAAATCATTTTCAGAATTGTGATTGGAGTCAATCAAACAACTCATGTCAATCACATCTGTGCCCATATAGTCTCTATAACAGACTGTGCACCGGACGTCTTGGCATTGTAATGAAAGCGGCAGTGTCTTTGACTGTGATGGTAGTTATATACATTGTTGGATACATCACAGGATACTATGCTCACCGATGCTGAAGAGGACACTTGACGGAACTGGCTATTTAAGGAACTGGCTGTTATTTGAAACATGAATTATGTCCATCAAAGAAGTACCAACATTTATAAAATGTTTTAAAATGGGTTTTTAAATAAGTTACTTTTATTTTAACATAGTATCTTAACCAGTGTTAACAAGTAAAATACTTGTTCAAAACCAGATTTTATTTTATTTCTTATTTGAATGTCAGTGACCATCTCATATCCAAAAGTGCATTAGCGGTCACAATACATAGCCTATAATTTGCTATTATACCAAGAATAAAATAAAGTTAACAGTAAACATTTTACAGTGAGGTTTAATTTTTGGTTGATGCATTGAACAACACTTTTACAGCAGCTTTTAGCAGTCTTTGTACATACACTACGGTTCAAACATTTGGGGTCAGTAAGATTTAATTTTTTAGAGACAATATTTTTATTCAGCAAGTATGGATTAAACTGATCAAAATTGACAGTAAACACATTTAAACAGTTTTTAACATTGCTAATAATATGAAATGTTGTAGAGCAAAGGCTGCTGAAATATGCAGCTTTTCCTTCACAGGACTAAATATAAAACAGTTATTTAAAATTGTAGTAATATTCCACAATAGTACTATTTTTACTGTATATTTTTATCAAATAAATTCAGCCTTGGTGAGCATAAGAGACCTTTAAAACATTAAAAAAATCTTACCAACCCCAAAACGTGGAATGGTAGTGTATACCAAGTAATTTTATCATTTTATGTTGAACATTATTACTGTTTTAAGAATGAAAACATCACATAATGCATTAAATAATGTTAGCAAATTGAACATTATATTACACTGTTTACAATTAATATTACATTTGACATCAGTCCTGGTCATAGATGACTTTAATAGTATCCACATCCTGCTCTTCTAGCATTTGGTCAATAATCTCATCTTTTGATGAAGAAAACAAGCTTGCATTTACTTTGACAATCCATGCTGTGATCCTTTGGTTAGTATAATACTCATCCTCCTGACTGTCCATCATTTCATTCATTTCGTTCTCATTTTCCATCTCAATAGCCGAATCAGAGAATGACTGCGCAAGTCTGTCCTTAGATACACTCGCTGAATCCTTCATCCTTTCTGTCATCACTTCTCTGTCTTTGGCACTGACGTTACTGGGCTCTACATCCAGAAGTTCATTCTGTGGCAGCCCTGCTGATACACCAGGGATCTTGTCCTGTCTCAAGTCTTGGTTTTGAACCTGCAGACTGTCATTAAAAACAGCCAGTCCATTGCAGATCAGCTGACATCCCTGCCTTTGTCTACTGAACAATGCCTTGTCCATCCTTATGCTGGTGGACAAGATATTGGCTTTCTTCTCCTGACATCCTACTCCCCAGCTTGACACACAGGTTTTTGCACTAGACATGGAGATAGTGGATATTCTTGGGCTGTGTATTGGAGGCAGCGAGCTACTATTTGTCAAAGTCCTGCCATCATTCCCCTTCGCCATTAAAACCTTACGAGGTTTGATAGTTTGATCTTTTCCATTTCCAGCCAGTTTCCACCCGGATGATAAATGGTAGGATCCCTTCGTTCCAATCAACTCCAGACAGATGGGCAGAGATGGACTGGAGGTCTTAAATGTCTCAAACGTATGGAAATTCTCCTGGATGTTAAGAGTTTTGCTAGATCCACTCTTCCATCTTGTCCTGTGGTCCCAAATGTCATTCCTCTGGGTCATTTTGAGAACTTTTTAATAAGAGCAAAATGGACGACTGTCAATGTCATGTAGCATGATGAGCTGTCCTGAGAGACAGTGTCCTTCTTGCATCTCTTATAGACAGCTCAGACCTACTCTCCTCCTCTTTACATTTCCTGAGTCGGCCAGTCATCTGATCTGTAACCAAACCTGGAGCATTCATGTGCTCCACAGGCACAAACAAACACAGGATGCAAACAATGCTACTGTCACTTCACTAAACATGTCTGAAGATGTGCATTTTAAAATAGTTCCTGCTAACCTAACTATAAACTGAATTATGAGACCAACTACTAGTTTTGATATTGATGTTTTTCATCCAGAGGGTCAAAAGTTCCTATACAGAGTCATCCTGAGGTTAAAAACCTTGCTCAAGGAAGTAAACTTGATATTGAAAGATTTTACTGTATAATTTTATAGCTTACCCAATTGAGAGATTCAGCAAAACAGGGAAACATTAATTTAATGTTTAATTACATTTTAAACTTTAAACTTTAACATTAATTACATTGAACAAAATTATAAACGCAACACTTTTGTTTTTGCCATACCTGTGCAATAATCATGCTGTCTAATCAGCATCTTGATATGCCACACCTGTGCGGTGGATGGATTATCTCCGCAAAGGAGAAGTGCTCACTAACACAGATTTAGACAGATTTGTGAACAATATTTGAGAGAAATAGGCCTTTTGTGTACATAGAAATAGTCTTAGATCTTTGAGTTCAGCTCATGAAAAATGGGGGCAAAAACAAAAGTGTTGCGATTATCATTTTGTTCAGTGTATATTAGAAGTGTAAATCTGTACACTAAGGTGGAAACAAACTTTCATACAAAAGATAGGAGTGTAAATGAGAACCATTGAATCCAACATTTGAATTAATAGCGGTTTTAATTTGATGAGAGAGAAAACTGTATGGAAAGTGGGGTAAATGAATTACAAATTTAGAAAAAAAAGCAACAGCTGATTTTTGTTATCGGATGACAGTTAGATTGCTGACGTCGGACATCAGGTCAGTTTTTGATGGGTAAACCAGTTTAAGGTTTCCATCTATGTCCACGACCTTCACTTGTAGTACGGTCAGCTCAGGGGAGGCCAGGTCCTCTGCGGGACGATCTGAAATCACATCCGTCTCTTCATCAGAGCCCACATCCTCCTTTGCATCAAAGGTTATTTTATTAAGCTCTGCCATTTTCTAAAATAGAAACAAGAATAGTCAGAGAAAATGAATATTACACTAATAAACATGGATGCTGTTTTCCACTGTAAATATTCATAGCTTGCTAAATGCTACTAACCACCATGAATGCTTGTGTAATTGACTTTGGATGAGGATACCTATGTGAAAACAGATGCCTTTTTTAATTGTCTTGGTACTTAGTAATAGCATAACTGCTAATGAATGCAGATAAACTGAATGCAATGACCCAGCTTGATGACTGATTTAATGGCACTGATTATTCAGAGTGTCTTTTATAGTAAAATATTTAGTAGTTATTTGAGCTGTCGTAAAAGAAGAATGTGCAAAAGTGGAACAGGTCATTTGTATCATGGAGAAAATCTCACAGCTGCAATCTAAACCAATTCCTCGGTTTTATCTTCCTTGTCACATTTCACGGTTTTCCATCACGTCAGGTACTTTTTACACAATTACAAAAATAGGATTTTTAAGTTTTTACTATAAATTAGGAACGTCAATTAAACCAAACAAACAATTTGACTGATAAAATCGGCAGCAGCCAGGGGCTCTTGAATTGCACTTGTATTATGTGATGGTGCAATGCCTCCGAGACACTGTACACCATGTGTGTGTGTTTGTGTGTGTGTGTGCGCGCAGAAAGATTAGCTCATTTCTTCCACTAGAGTATCAGCATTCAAAAGCTGTGCAGTCAAATAGCATAACAATGCTAATCCAATCCTGCACTCTTACAGCGCAGACTCAAATCAGTGCCTTCACTGTAGAGTAGGATAGCTCATATAAAATATTATATATTATTTACAGCATAGCAATACTAGTACAAATCAATATGAAAACAAAAATCAACCAAAATCAACCAAACAAAAACAAAAAACGGCCAATCCCACCCATCTCTTGTACTACAGACACTGCAGGATTGATATTTTGGGATTGAAGGAATGATTTAGTTGTGATTCTATTGTCATACAATTTGGTTCATATGTAAATAAACACAAAATGAAATACATTTTACAATATAAAATATAATATAAAACAAAACACTAGTAATATCTTACTATTATTATGCACTTTCTTACTTGTGGAGTCCTGAAACATTTTGTCGCTTTTTCTGTTTTCTCTGTTCATCTGCCTCCTCTTGAAGCATCTTCAGAAGTTCAGCTGCCTTCATCTCCTTACGACCCAGAGGAACTATCTACACACATTGACAATATTATCAATTTTTTGTTGTAAAACGATTATATATATATATATATATATATATTACTCTGCAGTAGGTATGTTTTTTGATGTGGCAGCAATATTTTAATGAAAATTTGTTTCATTTTTTTTTTATTAACACACTCGAGGATGTGCTGGATTGTGAATATAATCAGCTGAAAGGGTTTCTGTCACTATATTCACAATATAGCATAAAATGTATCTTAGATTATTAAGTCTGTTCTTTGGCATATACAGTAGTCAACATTTGAAGTGGATCAAAAAAGTTAATCAAAGTTGTCCTAAGACAAGAGTGCATTTTGGTTTTAGGTTTTAGGACAACTTTGATGAACTTTTTTGATCCACTTCAAATGTTGACTACTGTACACTGCTGTTCAAAAGTTTGGGATCAGTAAGATTTTAAATTGTTTTTTTTATGAAGTTTCTTATGCTCATTAGGGCTGTATCTATTTGATCAAAAATACAGAAAAAATTTAATTTTGTGAAAAATTATTGCAATTTAAAATAAGTTTTTTATTTTAAAATACTTTAAAATATAATTTATTCCTGTGAGGCAAAGCTGAATTTTCAGCATCAATACTCCAGTCTTCAGTGTCACATGATCCTTCAGAAATAATTTTAATATGCTGATTTATAATCAATGTTGGCATAATATTTTTTTTGGACCTGTGATACTTTTTTCAGGAATCTTTGATAAATAAGGAGTTAAAAAGAAATTGTGTTAACTTACAATATATGCTACTACACAAAAGTTTGGGGTCAGTATTTTTTTTTTCTTTAAAAAAAAGAAAAAAAAGAAATTAATACTTTTATTCAGCAAGGATGTTAAATGGATAAAAAGTTATAGTAAAGACTTATATTATTACTATTGTTAGAAAAGATCTCTATTTTGAATAAATGCTGTTCTTTTTAACTTTTTATTCATCAAAGATTCAAAGACAAAAGTATCGCAGGTTCCAAAAAAATATTAAGCAGCACAACAGTTTCCACACTGATAATAAATCAGCATATTAGAATGATTTCTGAAGGATCATGTGACACTGAAGACTGGAGTAACGGGGCTGATGAAAATTCAGTGCTGCGTCACAGAAATAAATTACATTTTGAAAAGTATATTAAAATAGGAAATTGCAGTAATATTTCAAAATTCTACTGTTTTTTTTCTGTATTTTTGATCAAATAAATACAGCCTTGATGAGCATAAGAGACTCTATAAAAAAAAAAAAAACACTAAAAATCTTACTGATCCCCAACTTTTGAACGGCAGTGTAAATGAAACCATCAATTATGAGAATGAAGCAACGTAACACATCTTATTGTCCTACTGCCTGTGGCCTCTTAGATAGGTGCTGAATTCACTGTCAACACAAAAGAAACAACAGCGAGAAAAAAGACTGTTCATTTATTATTAAAAACTGAGGATTATGGGACTTCTCTGTGTCATTAATCAGCTGGGGGCTTTGAAACCAGATTCCCGCCATTCATTTTTCTTTTTTTTTTTTTTTTTTTTTTTTAATAAATTAATATTCAGCAAGGATGTTAAATGGATAAAAAGTTATAGTAAAGACTTATATTATTACTATTGTTAGAAAAGATCTCTATTTTGAATAAATGCTGTTCTTTTTAACTTTTTATTCATCAAAGATTCAAAGACAAAAGTATCGCAGGTTCCAAAAAAATATTAAGCAGCACAACAGTTTCCACACTGATAATAAATCAGCATATTAGAATGATTTCTGAAGGATCATGTGACACTGAAGACTGGAGTAACGGGGCTGATGAAAATTCAGTGCTGCGTCACAGAAATAAATTACATTTTGAAAAGTATATTAAAATAGGAAATTGCAGTAATATTTCAAAATTCTACTGTTTTTTTTCTGTATTTTTGATCAAATAAATACAGCCTTGATGAGCATAAGAGACTCTATAAAAAAAAAAAAAACACTAAAAATCTTACTGATCCCCAACTTTTGAACGGCAGTGTAAATGAAACCATCAATTATGAGAATGAAGCAACGTAACACATCTTATTGTCCTACTGCCTGTGGCCTCTTAGATAGGTGCTGAATTCACTGTCAACACAAAAGAAACAACAGCGAGAAAAAAGACTGTTCATTTATTATTAAAAACTGAGGATTATGGGACTTCTCTGTGTCATTAATCAGCTGGGGGCTTTGAAACCAGATTCCCGCCATTCATAAAAACAGTATCGACAACGGTTATTAAATATTCATCATTGCTGCATTGTTTGCTGGTTATGCAACTAGTGGAGATGCTCTGATTGATGAGTTACGTAACAAACTACTGGGACAATTATGACTGTGAAAGAGCAAGACATTTTTATTACAAAAGGAATACTAAGTATACATATGAATCCGTGTATCATTCGATCATTCGTTTTTTGATTTAATATTGAAAGTAGAAAAATGAGAAAATGGCTCCTTTTTCAAATTTTTCCAAAAAACGAAAAACGAGAATTCAGCTTAAATTTTCGTTTTTCGTTCATGGGTGGAAAAATGAATAAACAGCTTGAATATTCAATTTCTACACGGTGGCAGGAATTAAACGCCCCTTTCTGCTGATTGGTCAGCCGAAGATCAAACCGTGCCTTCATCAGTTCTTCCGCAGTATCACGCAGCAGAATAATAGTCCTCTGCTGCTGCAGTTGTATGGATTAATAACCCATTTTATCAATTTAATATTTTTCTCATCAAACACACTAATGAATAGCTCGACACAACTTGTACCGGGGTAGAGTCTAGTCTTTCTTCTGTGTAGACCAGCGGTTCTTAAAGTGATAGGGGTAGGCTATGACAGCTGTCATATCATACCCTGCCATGCCCAGCTAACAAAAGAATAGAATTTATATCTACACAGAAGAAAGCCCTGTCTAGACTCTGCCCCAGTATGAGTTGTGTCCAGCTATTCATTAGCCTGTTTGTTTGATGAAAAAAGATTAAATGTAGTTGCAATAAATGCGTTAAGAATCCATACAACTGCAGCAGTGGAGGACTATTATTCTGCTGCGTGATACTGCGGAAGAACTGATGAAGGCACGGTTTGATCTTCGGCTGACCAATCAGCAGAAAGGGGCGTTTAATTCCCGCCCACGTGTAGAAATCGAATATTCAAGCTGTTTATTCATTTTTCCACCCATGAACGAAAAACGAAAATTTAAGCTGAATTTTCGTTTTTTGTAAAAAAAAACGAAAAAGGAGCCGTTTTCTCATTTTTCTACTTTCAATATTAAATCAAAAACGAATGATTGAATGATACATGGAATCATATGAAACCCCAATATTTGATAAACCTCCTCCCATACCTTCAGTGTATCTGGTGGCCTGGCGTCATACAACAGAGGAGCCTTCAGCAAGCCGAGGTCATGAGTTGCAATGGTTGCCGTTGTTCTTTTGGCACAAATCTCATCGTGAAGTTTGGTCTGCAGACAGAATACACGGATATTTATATAAGCTTATATAAAATCAATTTAAAAAGACAGATAGACAGAACACAAGAGTTCTGATGGATGAGATATTTATTTAAACGTGTGTCACCTGAGCAACTAAAAATCGCTTGAGTGCATTTCCTTGTCTGAGGTTCATGCCTTTTACAATGCAGCACACAATGTATGGCCGAACATCCTTGACGCCTGCAGAAACTTTGACTGTCACAGCCGTGGGTGCTTTGGATACATGCAGAACTCTCACAACCATCCGATTAAGCTCATCCACTTCCTCTGCCTCTTTTTTGCCTTTCTGCTTTGCACCGCTTTTCTTCTTTGAGATGTTACGGCCTCCATCAAGCTTCTCGCTCACCTCTCCATCCTGCTGCTTGCCTTTCCCTTTCCCCCTCCCACCTGCCCTCAGGTAGTCTAGGACTGATTTAGTCTGGCAGCCATTCACCATCTTCTCAAGCCTCTTGTCCTTCAGCTTGTTCCCTTTAAAATTGGTCTCCTTCAGCTTGGGGCAGTCGGCCAACTCAGATGGAAGCTCCTGGAGCTTGTTGTTGGAGAGATCCAAAACCTGAAACAGAAGAGAGTGAGATGCATGAAAGAATGCTGAAAGGCTTTTCAAATATTATTAATGCATATTAATATACAGTGATTTTCCGTATGTTAATTACTGTATTATTTATACAGAGATAAAATACATTTTATTAATCATATTTGGAGTACATAATACACCAACTACATTCTTTAGAATTACTTTAAAAAAAAATCACAACTCATTGGAATTGATATTTACTGAACTGTTGTTTTTATTAAATTCAAAATGTTACAAAAGTCTGAGAATAATAGTGGAATGCTTCCATTTAGCAATTCTTTCTAAAAAATGTATTACAAATTATAGACCTAATAATACAAATAATAATAATAATAATAATGAATTGTAGTAATATTTAAGTACTTAATACACCACCTACAATTTTTAGAATTACTTTTAAAAATTACAATATTTGATATTTATTTAAAAATTGATATTTTGATTGAAAATGGATTAAAATCACAAATTGATATTTAATCACTATACTTATTAAATTTTAAAGGTCCAAAAGTCTGAGACCCATAATGGAATGCTTCCATTTAGCATTATTTTTAAATTGAATTAAATCATTTTAACTATAAATTATAGGTCTGTTATCAGCAAAATAATAATAACAATAAAATAAAAATAAATAAATAAAATAATCCATATAATGATAATAGGAATAAAAACAACATTATACGTACAATAATAAAAATACAAAACTAAATTGTGTGTACATAATACACCACCAACACTCTTTGTATATACTTATAAAAATCACAACTGATTAAAATGTATATGTATTGAACCACTGAACATATGCAATTCACATACAGTAGGAATATTAGATTTTGTGATGAAACGCACCTTCAGCGCAGGCAGGTTATGAACCTCACTGCTCAGCTCCTCTATCGCGTTTTCTGATGCTATGATGCTGCTGAGGAGCTCCAGGCTGGAGCACCACAAGTCATCTGGGAGCCGAGAGAGTGCATTTTTGGACACATTGATGCTGGCGAGCTTCACACACTTGCTCAGGCCATCCGGCAGAGCGGCGATGCTGTTGCAGCTGACATTTAAAGTGTTGAGCTCGCTCAGTGCACAGATCTCCTCGGGCAAAGCCTGCAGCTGGTTGACAGACAAATCCAGGACTTTGATCGCCTTCAGTTCACCAATGCTTTTTGGGACTGAAGTGAGCTTGTTCCTGCAGAGGATCAGACTCTGTAGATGAGACAGATGTCTGATGTTCTCGTGGATCGCTTGTAAACTGGGACATTGACTGATCTCCAGGTAGTTTAGGGGCGAGAGGGAATAAAGTCGCGCGTGAAGTCCGCCGCTGCTCTGGATCTTTTTGTCAACCGCTGAACCCTGAAGCACCAGCTCACGCCTGTTCTCCTTTTCTGCCTTTTCTATTTCTGGCCAAATATTCAATGAGCTATTTTCTTCAGCCATGCTGTCCAACGTAACTTCCCTCTGCATACTGTAGCCACATGTCCATATTTTTGACACTTAAAACACCTTAGCGGGGGTGGAATGTACGGTCGAACTACATAGCTCATAAATCCTAAAAACACTCTAACAACTAAAACTCTCTTCGCCGGTGCGAAATCATGACGTCACGATTTTCGTACTGAAGCTGCGCATGCGCTGTGAGGGGGAAACAGGGGAACTGAATTCACCGGAACACCGGAACGTGGACGCAACCCGGAAGAATTTTATAATATGCCGGTTTTTCATACATTTCCAATTCAAATGTAACTTAATTAAGCGCTGTACTTGGAATTTAGGATTTTCATATTTCATATTTTAATAGTAATATTTTACACACACTGTCTTAGGGTAACTCTCCCATCTTTAACCAGCACCATTATAAAGGACTACAAGAACCAGCATCCCTTTTTCTTCGATAGAGTCTGGACTTTTGATTCACTAAAGTGACTCGAGACTTTTGAATCAGTTGATCTAAAAGAGATCTTTCACTGATTCGTTCTTTAGCTTTCGTCGTGGGCCAGTAGGTGGCGAAATAGAAATTAAGATATATACGTACTATATTTATTCAATTTGTATAACATATACATATACAAATTAATATAGAAAATAAATTAAAATAATATAATCAATATAATTAAAATAAATATAAAATTCAACATGTGATGCAAGGTTATAAAATGTTTTTCTTAATTTCTCGTCCCACTGTGCAACTACAAACAGAAACAACAAAGAATTGTGGGCATACACACTTATATGAAATGGAATATAATAGACTATTAAGAAATTTGTGAATTAAATAGAAAAAAGAATATAGAATATATTATGGGAAATATAGATATTTTAATATAGTTTAGAACACTGCATGGGAGACTTCAACTTCAACCAGGACAGACTTAAGTAAACAAAAGTACTGTACATAGAAGTGAACAAGACTCAGTATACGGAAGTGAACTAAAATGATTCGTTCACCTAAAAGATTAATTCAAAACACCGGATTCTTTCAAGAACGAACGAAAAACTCGCGCATGCGCACACGATTCAGTTGTCAAACGGTGGTTATGGAGATAAACGTAGGCAACTGCTGTATCTGGGTAAACAACTTATTTATCGAAATTGTATCTGCCAAATAGTGAATATAAGTACTACTCCAAGAAAGTGATTCTGAGCGTTATCTGATTAACGTGTGGTTTGTGATTAAAATCCTTATTGCTGTATTGGAGGAGTTGTAACAGTAATGCTACTGTTTAGTTAGCCGGATTGCACGCTAACGCTAAATACTTTACTACGACTAAGGTTCTTTATAATACGCAGCAAACCTCTGAATACCTGTGCAATATTTAAGTGCAGACTTAACGTTAACTGAAATTACAGTGTTACAACAAGTAGCTACCTATGTGGTAGTAATGTGGATTTAAATAGATACACCTTGCATTGCTGCTGTTTAATTAATTGTTAATTTGAATAAGTATTTTTTATGTTATTCTACATTATTCTAGTTTGATTCTAGAGATATTTATGTACTCTAAGCATACATCATAAACGACATATTACTCTCATGTAAGGGAATGTTGCCAAATTACAGGTTCTTTCTGTATAATTTATGTTAGAGTGCTGGTACTTTGTGAAATTAAACATTGTGTATTGTTCATATCCCATATCCATCAGAGTTCAGGTACGGGATGCCTCATAAGATAGGCTTCACTGTGATCAGCTGGTCTGGTCATGAAGGAAACTACAGTGCCAAAAAGCTGATGGTCCACGCGCCCACCGTCAATGGCTGGAGATCCACCAGGTTAATGAATTTTATAATATTTACGCTAGAATATACAGTGGTGTGAAAAAGTTTCTTTTTATTTTTTCATACGTCACACTTAAAAGATTCAGATCAAACAAATTTTAATTTTACACAAAGATAATGCAAGTAAATACAAAATGAAGTTTTTAAATGGTTTCATTTATTAAAGGGGTCATAAAGGGGTTTTGATGTTGCAAAAAATAACATTATTTTGTGTATTTGGTGTAATGTATTGTGTTTATGTGGTTTAAGGTTCAAAAAGCACATTATTTTCCACATACTGTACATTATTGTTTCTCCTCTATGCCCCGCCTTTCTGAAACGCGTCGATTTTTACAAAGCTCATCGGTCTGAAAAGCGAGGTGTGCTCTGATTGGCCAGCTATCCAGTGCGTTATGATTGGCCGAATACCTCAAGCGTGTGACGGAAATGTTACGCTCCTTACCATACTGTGTTTCCGTGTGTCCCGGCGCGACGAGACAAAACCAATAAAACTCATTACAAACGAGGCATTTGT